TGTGATATTTTGGCACTAGTTCAGAAGCAGAATGTTGCTTTTAAATGGATGCCGATTCATTCGACCTGTCAAAGTGTGAGATGCATATTACTGATTAGATTGAGGAAGAAAGCTCCAAATTTTATTTAATTAGTTTTTTTTTGATTAATTAGTAAGGGCTCTTTTGATCGTAGGAAATATGCTGTTTTTAGCCATTTCGTGCGCATTGTTCCTTGTCTTTGTATATCACAACGGGCGGACCTAATCACATTCTAAACAACTGCGATGCCTTATCCAAATCAAGGTAAAGTAGAACGCTTCAACCTTTCATTTTGATTTCCATTTTATCTAGAGCTTTAGAAGACACGCAGCTAAAACACTTTAAAGGTTAAGAGAGACGACGCAGCAAGACCTGATGCCATCTCAGTCATAAACTTCCACTGATAGAGGGATCGGGGTTATGGAAGCACTGCACCACTGCAATATTGCAACCTAGATCGTAGGAGAGTGTTATAAAGTCCGTGCACAGCTGATTTTCAAGTGTAATTCCAGTGGATGAATAAGACGACTGATGTGAATGGTAAAAATATGGCATTGATTCATTTGGCATCCACACGAAGTGACAGATTGTGGGGTCTACAAGTCTCCGCATCATATCCACGACTTTGGGTCACAGTATGCCCAAATAAAACAGCTCATCCACATTCAATCCTGTGACCTTTCTCCACGTTTACGTTCTTGGATCGAAAAGAATGTCATTAATGGTGTTAGAATCTTATACTCAACGACAGAAGTCGGTGATTGTCAGGTAATTAGTGTTTGTCCTTCCGTCTGCTCGGCCACAAGCTTTGTCGTATCCAAACAAAGGTGTAAATCAAGAGTGTATGCATCCATGCCGTCTCACACCACTTAACACACTGATGTGGTGCTGCATAAAGTGTATCTTGAGAACCAAATAGCCACTTACTTGGACTATTTTTGGTGTGCGCCATTCTATATTCGTCAATCACGGCGGGTAACCCAAGAGTCATGTCATCATCACGTTCTGTCGACGAAACGAGATGTATTTGAATAACAGACGGTAGCAGTGCGAATCCTGTTTCACCTAGTCACAATTATATACAATGTACAAGCACAGTATCATTTGTGCAGAAAAAAGTACCCAGGATGCAGACTCCACTGATATTTGTGTGGAAGTAATAACTCGCCATCCTTCATACTGGAGCCGACTTAAACCCATATTTATGACCTCAAGTTAATTGCGCTTCAATGGAATTCACTTTTGAATTGAACTTCACATCAGTGACTACGGGAATTCGCTTCTACTTTATAAACGGGTCACCATTAGGATTCATATGGCAGCCTATAGAGTTGTTTGAATGACGAGCAGACACTTCCACGTCCTCAAATTGCCTACCGCTGTAGTGGGAAACAACTTCCATTAACGATGCGAAATTTGGAGCACTATAAGCAGTATTTGTGTATACACATGAGACCATTTTAACTCTTTTTCTTCCATGCGCTCCTACAGTTGTCAGCCATTAAAATAGTTATTCGACAAACAGAAGAAAATCCTTGTCAACTACTGCTACTCCTCAATTTCTTTTGTGCTTCTAAAGACTCCTTTTTTAATTGATATAAGAACTGCAAAGTCTGAAAGGAAGGGTAAACGTAACTTTGAGCTAATAAGTGAATGTGTCAGTGGTAACTAGTCTGTTACGCAATTTTTCCAAAGGCAAACCTGATACGACTGATCATAACTTCTTAGTTAGTGTTCAAATCTTGACAAAGTTATCATACGTTAATCAATTCAATTCAAAGGAAGAAGAGAGATCCCTTTAAAAATGGACTATCCGTGTAAGAGACCTTGATGAATCATTCACCTTCCTCGAAAAAAATTCTTTTTACTCGGACCTACATAGTGGCAATATAGTCTACATCTACCAGCAACCACGGTGACCTCTTTGATGTCGAGTGTCAAATCACGAGCCGAAATTAGATGTGATTAAGAATTTGGTAGCAGCAAATTTATGCCGTTCATTGAAAGACTTTAAGGATTGAAATGGTTATCCATACATCGCGCGTTAGTAGACTGTTCAAAGCATGTAAAACACTCCGATAAAGCTGTTGTTAATGCAGTACGACATGTCAACTTTAGTGGGTACTTGCATATGAATGTGTTAGTCGCAACTGTACTGCCAAGCATTTGTCGGGAGGCAAAGCTGTCACGACTACCCATAAGGCCTCTGTGATTGTTACTAGTCCAACACTCAATATATTAACATTGTGGATTCCACCTCCATCTAATTAGCATGTTTGAATAGCTGTTAATTTAGCACCTCATTCAATTTGTACGCTGGTAATAATTTGCTCTTCTATGCTTCCATTACTTCATCTCCACGTCTTCAACGCCGTAAAGGACAGTTTCATAATATTTACGTGTTTTGTTGTTATTGCTTAGAAATACCTATAAAGGGAACACGGGGATGCGATGGGGTGGCATGATCACCAAGGCTGGAGGTAGTTGTGACAAACCTCCACTGTGTGCCTCACATATCAAGTCTTATTATGTTTAGGTTTGATAGCCGTCAAATAAAATCAAGAATATGTTTCATCTGCATGGTGCTCATTTATCTGCCGGAATGTCCGCCTTAATACAAAATAACCTACACTTCTACCAAATCACCTTCACCAAGAATGCAATGTTGCATGCGGGGTAGCGCTGGAGACTTTCAAAGACACACCAAATTGGATTACGACTTGATTATCAGTGATTGCAAGCATTGACAATGACTGTTATCCACCACATTATCTTCTATATTTCACTAAATGAGGGAGGTGTGGCTATGAGAAAACAAAAATAGACTGCAAACCGATAAATATTTCGCTCATCTCTTAAATAACAATGCCGCGATTGCATCTAAAATCAAAAAAAGATTTGCGTACGACATTACTACGCCACGGTGATACAAACTATCTCTTTCGCAGTCAGCACTCCCTTAGGACAAGGCGAGTCGCGATAGGGGTTGGCTTTGTAAACAAGATGCAGACATCGGGTGTGTAGGCGTGTAAGGCACCGAGAGGTATGGAGATAGCAACAGTCAAGTAGCAAGACGTAAGTGGATAACAAAAAAAGGGTTCATAGCTAAGCAAGAGAGGAATATGTCGATGGTTGTGGTGATCGTTGAGTTGCCAAGACCTTGGTTAGTTGCCCAAAGTGGAGATTACATCCCCACTTTTTGCCGAAAAGACTCGAACTTAGGATATGTGTTCATAAGCTGTGACGTTAAACTTTACCTCTCTACCTTGATCAACGGAATACCTACGGCAGAGACGCACACAGTCTTAAAAGCAGCCACTAATGTGGCACAATAGTAAGCGGATTCGAGATCTTGACGGGTTTTTCTGAGTCCTGGTTTCAGACGTGCTTTATGATCATCCACTTTGCATGTCTTCGGAGTCATTTCTTATGGCAGCTGGTAAAGCACACAGCAGAGGGACTGCTAAGGTGCCATGAGGCACCTGAATAATGACTACATTATCGTTATGCTGGGTTGACGACGCGTTGGCGAATCCATGCTGCAGAGCGTCAACTGTATGCTACCACCATCCGAGATTGATCAAGTTGAAAGTAGGACAACAAGAAATCAAAATTGGCCGTCGTAATTCTGCAAATACGCTTCATTACCATATTGAAAGTAACTTACACAGGCTCATAATTTCACGCGATCATGCCACCACTACGCGATTGCCCGACGGCCGGTTCATGTTGCACGATTACAGCCTGACCGGAACCTACGTCAACTGCACTCGAGTTTATGGTTGTGCTATTCTGAATCAAGAAGACATTATTTGCTTCGGCCATCCTTACGGTACTAGCGTATTGCCCGGACAAACGGTCAATGCTTTTTATTCGGATCTAAAGTACCGGGTAAGTCTGCATTCCCAAAAGGGTACGCATGGACTCATTTGGTTCCTTTTTGCCTCTTTAACAAAAGGCAACTAGCTAAATGAATTTAGTCGTGAAATTGCTTGCCTACGCTCACTGCATATTGCAGACCCTTGTTCTGCATTTTACAGGTGCGCATTGCTTTCTGCTACGTGACTGGCACCTCGACAGCCGCAGTAGTTTAGTCCGATTCTGAAGGAATGCCCTTCAATACGAGTGGATATGGAAGCGGAGTAAAAAGTGTGGTAGCTAGCCCAAAGGAGCAGGTGCGGTCCATTTGGTGGTGGAGATGGTGCAGTGGTCAAAAGTATGATAGAATGAGGATATTTTGGGGCAGAGTTGGTAAAGCATGCGTGGAGGCGCATATGTGATACGTTCTGCGGAGGGCACGAGGCCAAGTTATCGCAATTTGCATGAACAAAGATGTGGAGAATGGCGCGTCAACTCCTTCACTTGCCATAAAGGAATAGAAGAATGTGGCGAAGAGGTGTGGCAAAAGGGAGTTGATTAGTGATGCAGGCCATGATGGAGTTAACTAGGGTGTGAAAAATATCGTAGATAATCTGACAGGGGGAGGAGTGTGAAAAGGAGTGTTTGGCATGTACCTGTTAAATTAGTTGATGTTGAAGGGCGAGGTATTCCAAGTGCTGTCATTTGTTCTGCTTTAATTGGCTACTACTTTACCTATCATCGTCGGTATTTGCCAAATAAAGTTGGGCAATTTTGTGATGGCTATGGTGTTCACTGACTCAATGAAATCTAAAGCAGGATAGAAATACGGGTGATAAGGTGTGGGGCGGTCAGTGGGATAGGAAAAGGTGGGTGGGATAACCTGGAAGTAGTAAATGTGATTTACTGGGAAGCGAGGGTGAAGACATAAAGAGGGACTACCAAATGCGCTTTGAAAATGTCAAATTGGAGTAGATTCCTCTGTTTACATGGTTAATTGCTTGATGCAAATAAAAAATTTAACATTCGAAAGAGGGTAAGCAATAATATTGAATTGCAGAGGGATATTTGCAGGTGTAGATGTATTTTGCTCATGAATTTTAAGCACACGTCTATGTGCGCGTAAATGAAAAATTTGAAAAGCAAAATTTAGTTGATATGGAATTGCGTGTGTGAATGCATCCACCCTTATAAGAGAAGTAGTAGACAAGGAAGAAGATGGCCTTGGGTTTAATTGATGTAGATTGAGGTGATAATGATTGCTATAAGGATCTTTTCCTTTATGAGACCAAAGGAAAATTTTTGCGATACAGGTGATAATGATGGGATAATCGTTCTGTAGGAGGTCTTACACCTTCCCTTCTTTATTGCCGGAAACGCATGCAACTCCGAAATGAAAATCACGTTCGAGCTACTAGAAAACGGCATTGCTGCAAACAGGCTCTGAGCATTCTGGAAGACGCCGAGTGCCCTGAACTGGTCTAGAAAACATGAAGTGGATAGTGAGGTAGGCTGTTGGTCATTTAAAGCCCATTTTATAGAAAATTGGGATCAAAATTGACTTTATTTAAGCACATAACCACAAAATATTTATTCCAATTCGAGGACAAATGCCTAAATCAGATAAGATTTTGCTTTCGTCGACTGTTGACACCCCAGACTTATCAGTTACGTCAAGTTACACGGAAAGCTTTGCAACATTTCCCATGTCAGCGGAACAACTGCAGCGTAACTGTGGATAGAGTTCACGATGAGAATGAAATAATGCACCCATGGACACTGACAAGATGCCAAATGATTTAATAGCTTGGACATGAGTGTGCCCTGTAGGGAGAAAAGGCTAAGCTGAAGGCTGCGTTGCTGCAAACATTTCTCCAACGATTACGTTCATTTGCGAGGCAGATACTAGTACTTCATGAGATCTAAAGCACGAACCCTCCCTATTAGACAGCAGTGCTCTTAATAAAGATGCAAGGGTTGCAAAAGTCATCCACTTACTAGCAATTTCTGTTTTCAAGGTAGGGTAATAAGAATGCCAGTAGGGTCGGAATAATTTTACTTTGATTCTCTACAATCTTCCTACTTCGTGCCTAAATACTCAAAGCTACGCAATATCTCTAAACAGCCACACCCTACCCATTCCTCACACCCAGCATCACACTTAGACAGACTCGATACGTGTCACCAATCAAGGGAAAGTCACAAACAATCGAAATGCTATACTATTGGACGGGCAAAAGGGACTTCCCTTGTGCCTTCAGTAGTCAACCAGCAGTCACACGTATCCAGAACCGTGTTTCATAATCCGTACATCTGTGTGCCCATACATCAGTAATCTTAACATACCCGCATTAACTGGTTAATTGGAAGCCACGCGGCGTGTCCCTTTACCACAATGACCCGAGTCCTTTCCAAAACTGTTTCCGCCACCCTCATCCATCGCATACATTCACCCCAAGCACCTCTGAGTCACAGACCACAGAATATGCCACCATTCAGCTAGTCACCTGCACTCTTCATCAATCTCCACTAAGTCAGACAAAGCTGCGCTCAAATGCAAGTCTGTCAGCTAAATTTCCTCCATTTACCGTATTTTTCGAAGAATGCACACCCCATGCTCTGATTTATCCTACAACAGAGCAAATGCATAAATGACGAGGTATAGAAATTCCCCTACAGTACCAAAAACACGGCAGTTCTGCCGACTCCACAGTGACCTTATATCAGTGCCCATTTCCACTTTTGGTACCTCGCATGAGGCATTATGCAGGATATCTGAAATGATCCCTTCCTATAATCTTGGTTATCATCTCATCTCACCAATCCCACCATTAGTGTTCCGTTAGGCGAATATCAGGATAGAGACAAAAAAACATGAGCATTATAAAAGTGAACATAAAGGATGTGAAGACGTCGAGCTGTGTAAGCGTGAGTTAAAGAAAATGCTTTATTACCATCGTACAGTATGTCCAAAATACCTATTCATGTCCATTTGGTCAAACTACTGAAATAGTTCCATAAAACAGGGACTCAGGAGAAGCGAGAATGCCGCCTAGATACGCTCACAAACATGCCCAGAGACCAAGCGGTGACAGTAGCATGAGCATACACGGGGCTTATCCACATAACAAACTCCTCGGTTGATCAACCAATTCAGGCCTCTCACACACATGAATGGAAAACTGGTGGTTATCATGCTTTTGAGCTCAACGGCTGTGAAGTAGGCATCGTGATTATTGGGGGGTGGGCAACCGCCTCAGGTGCAAATTACAGGAGGTGTTTCTTGTGACACTTGTGGCTAATTGTAAAACTCTACTTGCATTGCTGCATCCTGCATTGTTGTTTACCGATTGCTGAGTTGCGCTGACAAAATCACTCTGATCATAGATAATCCAAGGATTTAGCAAGTGGCATCTATATCCATCATATATGCCCATTGGCCGCAAATAAATAAGTAATTTCTAGGCTTTCATAGAAGATTATGCGCACTCAAAAGCAGCCCACACCATTCAAAAGGCAAGCGAAATGTCATTGATTCTACTGTAAAAACCATGGTTTTGACCTCGTCTCGGAATTAGTCAGGTATTTCAACCTTCAGCTCCGTATGCAGAAATATCGGTTATTAAAAAGTCACAAAAAATACTTCTACTAAGTTGCTCTTGAAGCTCTTGCGGCTGCCTCTTGAATCACGTCGCTCATGTTGTAGCTGTCGAGCTCAAACTCCATCACCGCCAACAGGAATGGACGAAGACTGGACGGGTTAGATCGAGAAGTACTGGACTGACAAATTGGAGATCTACCAAGATACCCAAAGTGTACATATAAGTGTTGACTTATTTAGAGACGCAGATGGCCAAATATGGTCGCTGACGAGGGGAAGTCAGTTACCAAATCTCCATTCATGCATACGATTGGTCTGTATCGGTCGACTGAATACTTCTCATCTATTGACCGCTTTGAGTGTAGCTCTAGGCTAACCCTCCTGTAAGCCAGTGATGCGGCTTTTGGGGTCAAATATTTCGCTTTTTCCAACTTCAAATACACGCCTTTAATGGTGTATCCGCAGTTTCATTTATCCCGAAATTTTTGTTAGTATTGACGCACACAAATGCAAATGCCGTCAGTTATTCCAGCTAAATTAATCTGGTTGAGAAATTAGTATTTTGGCTGTCTACAGTTATAGAGAAGTTTCGGAACCCTTAAATGCATAGACTGCTTAAGTTAATGGAATTTTTTAAGTAATAATAGCAAACTTGAACGTTTACCGCAAGGTGAAGTCATGCTGTACCTTGATATTGTGGACGAAAACTACGTCAAATACACTCGAGTTTGTGGTGAAGCTATTTTATAACAGTGAAATATTGTCGACTCCATTTATTTAAACGGACTTAACACAGTGCTCTCATTTAAAGTGACTGTTAAGTCCTCCTTCCCACCGGAGTTCATGTAGTCGCATTCCCTTCCTTCGTACCTCTTCTACATGAAGCAAATAGTTGACTGAACTCGCGCGTTAATTAAACCGTGGAATTGTTGTGCCTACACTGGCCGTATATCGTAGACCCCTGTTCCGCATCTCATAGGTGCTAGGCAATTGACGCCTAGACAGCCACATTGGGTAAGGCCGATTCATAATGGATATCCCCCAGTGCAGAGGGGATGAATAAAGCCCAGTCGCAAAATTAAAACGAATTTGGTAGGGGGTTTGGACACCGCAAGCCATTTAATTCAAGGTAGCCTGTTTTGCAATAATGAGCGTTATTAGGGAGTCAGAAGGCTGATAAGGAGTTGGTGGACCGTGTGTGAAGGTGCGAGTATATCAACTCTACGAATGTTGTGCTAACAAGATTTCAGCTGCCATTGTCGGCATTGACTAACTATTTGTTTGCCAATCATAATGAAGATAGCGTCCTCTCACTTGATGCCATAAGCAGTGTCTGGGGCAGGATAGATTTACGGACGATGAGGTAGAAATCAGTGGCGAAGAATATTTGTAGAAGTGGAAAAAGGAGAAAATGAGAATAAAAATTTATTATTTTAGGCTCAAAAACATTAAGGCTGGTGGAGGGAGAAGGTAGTAGGTAGTTAGGATATGTTATTGGATCAGTTCGTTGCAGTGGGAGGAGGGAGGATGGGAAGAGAAAGGGAAAGATTTAGAATCTTGAAGAAAACTGGAGATGAGGTTTGCAGTAACAAATGCTAGAATAAAAGCTCTCTATCTGCTCCCATTGTCACGTCAACTTTTTACATTCAGTATGGCAGAAGTTGTCTCTATCATGATTGTGGTTAGAAATCCATGTCGGTCTTAATGCACATTCTGTCCTTGGCATGTAGTAAGAGGAACTCAAAAAGTCAGAATGACTTTTTACTTAAACATCAGAGAATTTTGTCTGGGTGTTGGTACGATGGATGCATCGGTTTTGCTTAGCACTGCCCTCAATGCTGTGGACAGAGGCTTCCCCGTACTCTTAATCCAAACATGTTGTGTGGAAGAATACACTGCATACTTGTGTTTGGAAGAGTCGGGAGACTATTATCGAGTCCCAAATTGGCTACCTCAGAGTTGAAGTATAACCTTCCAAAACTGAATGAGTCACACCTTTTTTTTAAACAAGCAATCATATCGCTACGCTCCCATGTATCACAATGAAATGCTTGCATCGGAGTGCAGACATTATATTCCTGTATCATGTGCATTCTTTTTATCCCTAATGCTGAGATACGATGGCAACCGACTGCATTTCTGTTGCAGAGTTGACAAATTTCAACTCCCTACAACGATGACTGAGGTGCCTGAAACAAGAGAGACTCATTTTAGGGCTGGTGTGATGTGCGTCTAATGTGAGGACACATTATTTGTGTGAGACGGGCTCGTGAGTTGGAGACGTAGATGTTTATTTAAAAAGAGGAACCTATTTTGTGTTCGTTGACGAATTATAAATTTCATGATCCACCGGTGAGAATGAAGTGGATGAATGAGGTGAAACTGATCGTTGAAGGAGTGACAGCCACTATTTCCTCAATATGAGCAGGGCTATTCCAACTCCTACATTGCATAGTACACTATCAGTAGCAATTTGTTCTTGCTATTCTATCATATGATTTCTTAATTTCCATACAAGGTTAATATTTGGCTAACTTTTTCAGGCATCTTAATTTTTTTACAACCCTCAAGGGTCCACTCCTATTTGTATTGAGAGTGGCCATTAACGGGCCACTCGGAAAATGATGCAATGTACAGGAAGTACGACAAAGCTTGGTGACTGCGCGGTATGGCGAGGAAGTCGTCACGTACTCGAAAATGAAAAGCATAAGTATTATTAATGGGGCTGTGGTTTGTCCACTACACTAAAATAGCTTGTCACGAAATACAGATTCATTGCATCTTTGGTGTGAAGCTCTCTTTTGAACCAGCAAACTTCATATCGGAAGTAATGCCCTCATGTTTGGCTAGATCGTCTTCCTCCCTGTTGTACACACTCCTTCTTACACACCTCCATCTCCAATTCCGACTTTCAGTAAGTGTTGATGTCTGATATGCAAAAACACTTGAATTTGTGGATCTTGTAATAAGACCAATGCTTTGACCGAGAGATCTGGCCCTAGTTCACGTCAAAATGTCATTAAGTTGTCAACTAAATCGGCCTATTAATACTTCGTCTCCGTGTCACAAGACATTTGTCAGGCATTGCTAATCAAAAACATCAAGTAGACAGGATGATGCAGATGCCGACATGCCTAGCAGTCCATAAATGGCCCTTCTTCAATAAAGTTTATAGACTAGTAATTAAATAATGCAAAATAAGCATACTGCATACAAACAAATTTGGCTTAGAATGACTAAGTATTGGCCAAAAGGAATTTCTGTTTCATCTACTTACACGCACCTTACTGTGGGATTGTAAGATTTGCACAGTTTCGCAATTTTATCACCAGTTTCATGTCCTTTAATCAAGTGACCCGTTTTGGGAAGACTTTATGCTTGGAAATGTGAGAAATTAAAGTAAATTAGTTTGCAATTAGAAATTAGAGAATTTCTAAAGCTTGATGATCACTGATGCCTTCCCTATTTCGAGGTTGGTTCGACCCGCCTGCTTATCAAATAAAGTGATGCATTTAAGCAATCTTGTATTGTAAATTACCGTTAGTGTTGTATTTATTTAACTGGCGTGTTTTCTGCACCAAACCTCACCAATCGGTAATCCAAATAAGAATGCACGTCTGTCTAAATGAGATCAGTCAGAAGGCTACAACAACACATCACGTGAACAATGCGACAGTGTCAATAATGGAGCTAAACACCGAAAGACCGAAACCATTGCGTTCTGGCCATACTACTAAGGTGGTGACAGAATGCTACGGCGGCAGGAGAAGAGGGATTTTAATGCAGACAAGCAAGTAGATCGAGGAGTAGCAGCAGCACAAGAGCACACGGGGAATGGTCGCGAAGCCCACTGGAAGCGGCCAATCAATGAGAGGTGGTCAGTCGGTTGATGGATGAGACCAATCACATGCATAAACAAAGATCTGCTGGCTGTCTTTCGCTCACCAGTGGCCATATTTGGTCATTCTCATTTCTATATAAGCCACCTGTTATGTGTGCACTTTAGACTTTAGGTGGATAGCCTGTTTGGCAGTCCAGTACTCCTCAATCTTATCCTTCCGACGTCCGTTTATCCGTGTTGGCGGTACTGACGGAGTCTTAGCTCAACAGCTGTGACGTAAGCAGCGTGATTCAAGAAGCATTGTAAGAGCCCCAGGAGCAGCATTGAAGAAGCAATTTTTGTGACTCTTGCAGAGATTGACAGTTCTGCATGCAAGGCTGAAGTTTTCATTGCCTGGTTAATGCCGAGATGAAGTCAAAACCATGGTTTAAACCTTCAAAGGAATGATAACCCAGGTACCTTTTGAATAAGGCATGCTGCTTTTTGATTGTACAAAATTTTCCACGAGTAAACTTTGTATATGATCTTTGCGCAACCCTTGGATTATCTGTAATTACAGCGACTTCGTCAGCGCAACTCAATGCATGACAGCGTTAATGTAGGATATGTCGATGCAGGCACTTTTACAATTATCAACAAACACATTTTCAATCTGCTCTTGAGGCTGTTACACACGCCTCAATGATCACGATGACTACTTCATAACCGTTGAGCTGGAATCCAAGCTATCAGACAGATCGCCATCCCTATGTGGGATTGGCCCACATCCTCTGACCAGTCATGGAGTGGGGCTTAGGGCAACACTTGTGTACTCATGGTGCTGCCCCTGCTCGGTCTGTGGGTATGCTTTTGTGCGTGCTTGGGGCACAGCAACACTTCTCCTGTCTTTGAGAGTTCAGCCTCCATTTCGGTAGCTTGATCTAAAGGACGCAGCTTTGGTGTTCCAACTCTACTGTACGCTGGTAATAAAGTGATTTCCTACACTCTCACGATGCTCAGTTTTGAAACTTTCACTTCGTTATAGTTTTTGATTTTTTCGTAACAAAACACAAGAGTTTGGATTGGTAGGATAAGGTGATGACCAAGTTTAGATAAAGATGTCACTTGAAATTTGACCTTGACTACCCATGTAAAATACCAGGAAATTAAATAGGGACTAAGATAACAATAAGATGGAGCAGTCAAAAGTGTAGTATTCATTGAGGCATTGGGTAAGAGGTACTGTAGATAGAGGAACGGTCTTGTAGTTGGTTGCAGCTTTGGCGGCCTGAGTAGAGAGTAAAGAGGAGTGGAGGTGACTGGCTCAATGGCGGTTCAGTCCGCCGTCTGCGATGCCCGGTCTGCGGCTCAGAGATGTTGGCGGTGGCGAATGGCTACCGTGAGTGGAGGTGAGAGCACTTTAGGCAGTCATAGGTAGACGTGATGAAAAGTATGGTGTGCAGCTGCTTTTTCAGTAGTCGATGCGGACGAGCACATTAACTCACTCCTCCTTTCTTTACCCCAAGTCCGATTTCAGTGCCCCGAATGAATCAGTGTCATGACTATTGTAGCTGCCAGATTGAAGGATTTCTAAAATCCAACAATTGGCCCCACAAAACTGGGGAACTGGTTTTTTGGTGACTTTTGCATTTAGTGGCCTTGGACTCATTGGGATTGTAATAATTACCTTCTTTTGCGTCCCGCAATAAGGTAATGTTGGCATGGATGTTATCGTGGGGGAATTACTCAGGCTTTGCTAGTCTGTGTGCATACGTGTGCGATTGTATTCAGAAGTGGCTTTTAGTTATTAATTCTCTTAAATTAGCCAATAAAATATACGGTGAGTGTGATTATTAGATCCAAATTGCATGAACTGCTCAAGGAACACTTAAATGTCGATGTGGCATGGGACAACACGACGGTTATTGCTTTCATTTGGGATCACTAACAGTGCAAGAGAACATCATCTGCTCTGCAAAGCAGTCATCAGAAATGTCTACAATTGGACAGGTCATTCGACCAGCACGCGTCAGACATGTTCAGGCAAAGAGGCAGGTGCTAAGACTTCTCTTGATCTGCTCGATATGGAAATATAACATTAATCACCGAATTATCCTTAACACAGTAGATCCGGTTGATATTATTTAGTTTCGTTGGATAACAAGTTGATTTCCCCATGAGCACCACATCGGTGACTGTTGATTCGCAGGACTTGGTGGAGGCGCTTTAGCACATTCATCATGCAACATCTCATAACTATTCTTCCAATTGACAAAATTCCGTGCGAAATTTGTTCTACCGTTTGACGAAATGCCAATTCCTGTTATATTTTCATAGCAGGTAGTTAAAATTTTAGCCAGGATGGGGAATCACTATTAGCATTGCATATTTTTACCCCACTCCTCTTTGTGTCGACTTCTCATTTGATAGTGGGGAATCAATGTGAAATTTTCATAACAAGGTTTACCATTAGATTCAATGTGTTAATTTTCCCTTTAAGTAGTATTTACCTCTCTCTTTTTGACAATTACTTTGACCTATGTTGTAGTTAACGGTGCTATAACCCTCCATCTGCGTGCATTTTAGTCAGTATTTCTGGCGCAGTGATTCCTTTCAGCAGGCTCACACCATTGAGGTAGCGACATGATTTTCTCAAAATATCTTTGTCGAATGCGAAACAGTGCTTGGCAGTTTTCTTGATTCGAAGAGCACACAAATTCTGTGATAGAGAAGTCGGCTACAAACACTACCCTGCATAAATTAACGCGGGTTTGGACATGTGCTGTTCAATTTATATGATAAACCCACAACCTTAGGCATACTACTGAAATCGGTCCAATAGGATGTACACGTCCAAACATAATTTCCGATTGACTTAAATTGTCCATATTCCAGCACTATAAGAGGATATCACACCTGCCACATAGGTTGCGTTCCCAGTTCATAGCCCACCCTCGCACTGAAGGAGTGCCACTTGAAATGCATCCCGAGAATCGAATAGGCACTTCCTTGGACTCAACTGGGCGCACCGATTCTAATTCCATCGACCACAACGGAAGACATAACAGTTGTGTCACCGTGCACACATGAATTTTGGGCAATAATAGTGCAAAATCTGGCTTACCTAATAACAATTGCATATACATCATTAGCATAGTATCACATGTGCAGGAAACATAACCCATATTGTAGAAGCCGCTGATATTTGAGTGGAAGCAATGTTGCATTAACACCCACATTTATAACCACAAGATGGGTGCACTTCAACGAAATTTACTTCCTTACTGAAACACACATCAATGACAACGGGTGTCAGCATCCGCTTTAAAAGTGTGCCACCACTCGTATTCAGGTGACAGCTTACGGAGTCTTTCAAATGTGGAACAGACCTTCCCATCTCCTCAAATTACTTACCACTACACTGCGACAACTTTCATCAACAGTGCAAAGTTTGCAGCACTATAAACAGTTGACTTGCATTTGAAATGAGGCTATGGGTGCTGACGCCGTCTGCCTGATACAAGCCTGTCCGTTCGATGTACTGATGCCTTAAAACGAGTTATTTTATTCTTGAATAAGGTGTTTGATTGTGTTACACCACAGCAGTAGACCAAATTTTTAAAATAAACTGATAGGCATAAGGTAGCTGTATCATTCACCTCATTTAATGTTGCTACCTAACGATACACGCTAAATGATTTGGAAATCCACGACAATGTGTTTGACATGGACATGGGTCTCGGTAGGAGCATTTATATTTTATTGCAAAATGCACAAATTCAACAATTTTACACCCCCCATGTCAACAATTACTAGACACTAGAAATGTAGATGGAGAGGTGTAAATAGGAGTGCATACAACAAGGAGTATAAAGACTTAATAAAATGTGAGGACACCACTTTCGATATGATGGATGCCGGTACAAAGGCGGGACTCACACCAAGGCTGATATGATTCCGTACTTCATGACGTGCTATTTCAGCGTAGTGAACAGTGCACAACTCCATTAATAACGTTTAAGCTTTTCATTTTCTAATTTGTGACGCGTTCCTTGCCAGAACACAGTAAACTTCACCTTTATTCCTGTCTATTGCAGCAGAGCCCCCGGACGAATTGACATGTGTAAAGTGCTAAACAACAAAATAAGTTAATTTGCATACCTGCTAATGTAAAAGAATGATTCAAATGTTAATTCCTGTAAAAGCGGTACAGTGGTAGGAAATTTGAGGAGATGTGAATGTCTGCCCCACAGTCAAGCGACTCCATCAGTTGTTACCTAAATTCATGTGGTGATACCCGTTTGAGGTGGACGAGAACTACCGCACTGTTGGAAGTTAAATCCCATTGAAGTACACACACAACTCAAGTATAAAAACGTGGTTTCTGTTCGGCTGCTTCATTGGAGTACACATTGGCTAAAGTCCTCACTGTATATTAGCTTAAGTATCTCTGGTGCATGCATGATGTAGAAAGTTTTCCAATTGTGTGATTTCAATCATCTGCTTGTGCTTTGTTTTAGTAAAGTAGATTCTGCATGACTACTGACTTGCATTCAAATGTTATCTCTTCTGCTAATCCCATTTGAGCAAACACATATGGAGGATATCAGAGTGGGCATAGATAGGCCAAGTTGATAACCTGTGTGTTGGTTGAAGGCGTCGCTGCATTGTCGCTTAGATATCTGTGACGTCTGCATGATGTTTTGGTTTAGACTTACTTGTGCATGTGTTTCTCTACGATTACAGACTTGACTTTGCATCAGATCTGAGCTAGACTTCTCGACTTCAAATGATCCACCTTAGTCTACATAATGAAAAATCAACTAGTTGACGCATATGGAAGTAAGTGGGATTTTGCCGGATTTTTCAAGTCTATTTATACCTTTTTAGACACCCGTATATAAGTGTTCCCTTTTGCCTTTAGCTATATCTACACATGCAGCCTTGTTTATGTATTTTAATTCATTTAAATGCAAAAGCATCCACACAAGAAAATTAATATCAGCTAAATTTTGTTTTCATGCGTCCATTTACGCTTACCTAGGTGTTCGTCTATTCTTTCCCACAATGCTTCTACACCCCTGTTCCTACAAATTAAAACTAGTCAATATACGTATCCATAAAAATATCAAATTTTAATTTGCATCAAAAAATTGCCCACTTAAGAGGAGATTTTTACTCCATTTTGATGTCAACAAAGGACATATACTAGTGCTCACATTCTACGCCTCTTCGTACCCTCTCCTTCTTCCCAGCCAACTACATATACACACTTCCATAACATTACGTTTCAAATCACCTTCACTTTCAGGTCATCACGTCCAACTTTTCCGCTCCCTTCCCCCTCTACACCTCATCCTCAATATTCCATCCTGCTTTAGGTTTACGTAAACTAGGTAGAAGGCACTCTGGCCATTACAAAATTGCACAACTTTATTTGGCAAATACCGGCAATGGCAGGTAAAGTGGTGGTCAATACAAGCAGATCCGTTAACACCACTTGGACTGCTTCACCCATTACCATCGTTCACTCTGCAGCCACTACGCCACACTTTTTTGCAGGTACAAGCCAAACATTCCTCTTCACTTCTTCTTGATATCTATCATACCCAGTTGACTTCATCATCCTCTGCATCACTAACCGTCTCCTTGTTACAGCACTTCTTCGCGATACCCTTCTACACCTCTATGACAGGTGGAGTTGACATGCCTTCAATTGTGCCTTTGTTCGTGTGACACAGATTTATCTTGGCCTCGTTCCTCCAACGTGACGTAATACACCCTCACCTTACACACGTTCCATCAGCTCCGTGTCACAATTTTCTCACCCGCTCATAAGGCTCACTACTGCATCACCGTCACCCTGAATTTGACGGTTTGCAGTTCCCAAGTCGAACACAACTGTCCTTCTGATTTCGCGACTACACTTTCCGCTGCTTCCGTCTCCATACGTATTGGAGAGCAATCCTTCTCACTTGGGCTTACCTACTGTGGCTGTCGATGTGTCAGTTCCCTTGCAAAAAGTAATGCTCACCCACGAGCTGCAGAACAATACAGTAGGTGTGGGCATTGAAATCCACGTTTTAATTGGGGCGACAGTCCATCCAACTAGTTGTTTCATAAAAAAGGAGGTAAGAAGGTAGCAAGTGAGTTTATGCGTAGCCTAGTGGAAATGCAGACTTGCCCGGTACTTTAGATTGGAATAAAAAGCGCTGATCTTTTGTCCAGGCAATATGCTGGCACCGTTAGGGTGACCGAAGCAAACAATGCCCCTCCGTTTTAAAATAAGTCCACCACAAACTCAATTGTAATTCACAGAGGCTTCGTTTGGACTGTGATCGTACAACATGAATCGGTCATCTGGCAGTCGTTTAATGGTGGCGTGATTGCGTGAAATCATGCTTTTGTTGATAGTGCTTCCAGCGTGATAATAAGGCAAATCTGTGGTGTTTCGACGACCACTTGTGATCACTTGTTGCCGTGCTTTCAACTCAATCAACCTTGGATGGTGGTAACACCTAGCTGACTCCCTGCAGCATATACTCTCCACCTCTTCGCCAATCCACAATAAATTTGAATAAGCCATTGTTTTGGAAATAGGGCAGATCTGTGTTTGAGAGGGGAAATTTACAATTGTGGTTAGTGTACATCAATATCCCCCTCGCACGGATGATGGCGGATTCAAACAGCCTGAGTCAGAAATGAATAGGGATTAGAAGACTGCAACCGGAATTCAACTTGTAGATTAAGAGCGCTTGCTAAATTGTTGCCCTACAAACAAAGGCGAATGACCAAATATGGTCTTTACTGGGGAAGATCAATCTCTAGATCTTCAAATCATCCATGTGATTGGTCTGCGTCGACCAACCAACCGAACGACCACCCCACATCGATTGGCCACTTTGGGTGTGATTCGCGGCCACCCCTTGTCCACGCTCCTATTGTCGCTGCTCGGTCTGCGTGGCTACTAGCACCACCTTGGCACCATTGTCGAAAGGACGTAGCTTCAGTCTTTTAGCCCCTCTGTACGCTGAAAGTAACGCATTTTCCTACACTTCTCTGCCTTCAACTCTATAAAGGGCGCTTTCCCATCCTGTACATGTAATGGTAGGCCATAGGAAATTTCTACCATATCAGTAGACTTCTTCCGCTAGTTTAAAGCTTTAATCCACATCTCTACGCAACTTTTTATGCCTATAAGTGGAGATGCAACCGTTTGAGGTGTATGTCTGATCGAAAATTTTGTAAATACACCAAATTGACACTCATGTGTTATTAGGTTTTAATATCTATCGGCATTTTCATTTGTGTGAGTCAATTCCAACGAAAAGGGCAGGAAGATATGAAACGGGATTTTAATTTGACAATGGAAAACGAGAAGTGACTGTCCGCTACTGCAGCATCATGGGCACACACCATGGGTGGCCGTGAACCACGCTCAAAGGGGCCAATAAATGAGAGGCGGTCTGCCGGTGGATCGATGCAGACCAAGCGGCAACCATGAACGGAGATCTGGCGCCTGACTTTCGCTCACCAGTGACCATATTTGGCCATTTCAATCTCTTTATAAGACAACTATTTTGCGAGTAAATTTTATCTTCAAGTCGCCTGCTCCCCAATCTCATTCGATGACACTTCATGTCTAACGTCCCTCCGTTTGTAGTGACGGTGGTGGAGGCTGTGCCCTACGGCTGCTAGGCAAGCGCCGTCTTTTGAAAAGCGGTTTTCGCTGCCTCAAGAGCAAATCTGTAGCGATGCTTACCGTGTAACTTGAGATGACTGATAAGTCGGCGTGGATACTTAGGGGTGTCAATAATCGGCGAAATTAACTTATTATAAAGTAAATCCAAAGCAGACAAGTCATCATGACCTCGGGAGGCTAGTTATGCAATCAGTTAGCCGAGCAAGGTTGAGATGAGTTTATAACCATGGTTTATCAATTTAAGGCTAGAATGTTCTACAGGCCTTTTGTGTGCTCTTTGCTGCCCTGCAGGTCTGTCAAAAGTCACTATGAAAGGCTCCACGGCATACACTCATTGGCGGTCAAAAACTAATTTCATGGCTATGAATGGTCTTTGTCAAATTATCGGAGCCTGACAAAGCACAGCGGACTGGACAACTCAGCTTAACACAAGACAACACATTCGCTCAAAGATAATGCAACTCTCCATGATGCACAACGAATCGCAGTGATGGAGCGGTGAAGTCATCGTAGAGGAAAATGATTGAGTTCCCTCTTTTCCCGAAAAGTCAAAATAATCCCCAGACTCGCAGTTTACGATATGCTATCCCGTTCGAAGGTAGGTGGTCGCGACTGACACTACCCAGACCAGCGTAAATGTACTAACAGTAGCGTGTCCACTTGCAGAGAGTGAACTTCAAAAATAACAAACCTGTCAGTGAACTTAAAGAGGCAGAGGGATCCGCGTGACCTAGACGATGTGAAATGGGTTCAGTCGCCTATGACTGTGGCGTACGATTTTATATTGGATCTCCAGACCTGACAAACAAAGCCAAAACTACCAAACCGGAAATCTGCTCGAAGAGGAAGGCCGTTGACCAGATGAGGATAGCCACTGGTAAGGTCAGCTCAGCTCATGCATGCGATTGGTCTACACCGATCGACTGACCACCTCTCATCGATTAGCCGCTCTCAGTGTAGTTCAAGGCCAGCCCTCGCGTACGTCCGTGCCGCTGCTGCCACTGCTCCTCGGTCTGTTTATGTGCGTGGGTGCATGTCTGTGTCGCAATGCCTCCGTTGGTTCTGCCACTGTCTCGTTGGCGAAATTGGAATAACTTGGCTTTGGTATTTTATTCACTCCTAATACCTTCAGCTCTACGTCTTTAGCTCTATGGTAATCGCTTCCACCAATGTTCACGAGTCTTGTCCCCGCGATCTCCATTTGCCCACCTAGCAGAACACGAGAGACATGATGGGATGATGACAAAGTTTCGATGTTGCCCTTAAACCGCTACCATTGAAAGTGTGCCGCGGATTGCGCCCCACAAGGTTAAGTTCAGCACAATGAAGCAATGAGAGCTCATTACTTTAGTAATAAAGTGAAGCTATTACGAATTAGTGAGCAAATTTCCGTTGAAATGGATGCAGATAGAAGGGAAGTTGCAAGTAAATTACTGAACAAAGCGTTTAGTAGCGTCGAAGACGTGTTTCTTAAAGTTTAGTGTCACTACGAGATGCCCACTAAGCTTGTTGGCGGCAGTGATAGCGTCGGCATTTGCATTTTCCGCTGTCGTGGCTTCTTTGGACAGCTTCTTACCCGCCTTCCCACTAAATCGTTTCACCAAGGCGTCTGGAAGATCAGCTAGGAGACCCAAAAACGCATATTTAAACGAATATGTCATTGAATAAGAAGACAGATAAGGAATTTTAAAATTAAAATAGTCTTAGAGGGAAGGAAGTAGCTCACCGGAGAGTCGAATACGACACTTTCCACTGCGCCCAAAGCTACCTTCTACTACACCCGGGATGGAATCCGCGTTGTCGCCCTCAGTTGTAGCAAGGGTGGAGGAGGGAAGGAAGGTGACAGTAACAGCAAGGCCGGTGAAGAGTTCCCAATTGGTTTCAGCCTTAAAAAGATCCCTCACAATGCAGTGCCGTGGGTCTACAACTCGTTCTACTTCACCCCGTCGTTGTTTGTGTCGATAGACCTGTCGGTGCAACCAATCACACAGTGATTTGCAATTCGGACGGTTGGGTTTCACAAGAGATTTGCCTACTTGGATCTCTCAGTTACTCCGCTGCAAGTAGTGGCAGTCAAAAACGCGCAAATGGAACTACAAATCGCAATATGTATCGTAAACTTATTTGAAAACGAGGCCTCAACTAAGTATAAATAAGTTAGACTTCAAGTACCATTTGGTCTCCTTTCGATTTAACAAGGTAGGCTTAGCTACTGGATGAAGTGATTCAAGAATTTTGTTCTTTCCTAATTTCATCCGACCCTTTAATTTGAGGACGGAAAAGAGTGCATGACCCATTCTATTCCACGAATGAAGCATATTTTGACAGAAATTACTACATATTCTAATAACTGGCTCCCCACCTCTTCTAGGTTAGACCGTTTGAATTGCTGTGTCCGAAGCGTCAATGAGAGTCACCAGCAGGCGTGCCTTAATTCCAGGGACCTTTTAATATCCCATAGTAATTATGTATTCAATAAGTAAAAATTACAAATGTTATATTTCAAGGAGATTATGCCAAATTGTGTTAAGATCCAGCCGTCTTTACCCGGATATTACAGAAGTCACTGAAGGGATTTTCTGGAAGAAACAGTTCGCTAATTAAATGAGGCTCTAGATCAAAAATATGCACAACTTTCAAAGTTAACCAGAAGGGATCATGATGCCCATTTGAGTAGACAGTCAGAAGAAAGGGCGAGGGCTGTGTTATGTAGAGAGGTAACTGGGAAGCAAAAGTGTATCCACCGATCCATCTATGCATCACATAATCGCCTATTCAATGGAATTTTTACGCTTTCACCCCTTCTGATCACCTACTGATCTACCCCAAGATAAGTGGAATAAGAAATCAGCGACTCACCGAGAGAGAAGTGCGACACTCCTGAGATGAGGCGAAGACGCGGGCGACGGTGCCATAAAAGGCAAGACGACAGCTGGACGAGAGGGGATCGGTGTCGAGACGCGACCCAATCACAACTCCAGCCATGGGTGCTACTACTGGTGCATCAAACTCCAACACCATCTCCCTAGCTTCGCCCACACCATCTTACAAAGAGACGCAAAAAGTAGTTGGATGTTCATCTTGCGACACTTATAAAACGATAACATTTATGTGGGTGGATATTATAGTATATAGACTCGATACTCGGACCGAAGAAAAAACCATGCCCACTTTCCAGTCAACTCATTCTAGTAAACATTCCGAGGACTCAAAAAATTCATCTACCTGGGGTTCGGAGGAACTTTAAAAGCACAGAAATACTAGATTTGATGAAATGACTTCATTCATAACATCATGTAGATTAAGAAAGAAGTGTATTACCAACGTAACCTGTGAATAGTCTACGAATTGGCAACTTTGAACTACCTAACATATCGGCAAAGTTAGTGACAGCAATGAAGAAAAGTGTAGGAACACTTTTTGGTAGCAAAATTAAATAGCCAGTGTGCAATCGAAATTGGCAAAGAGCTACAATGAAGTTGTTGCACCTGGATTCCACCAAGCATCGACAGCATAGGGAAAACGAAACCATGACATTTACTACCAACAGCACCATAAAGAACGAGGTGACTAATTACCCTTATCATGGAGTTCCTCGACGTATTCAAACTCCTCCTCCGCCTTCGTCTCCTCCACCCGGCGAAGACAGGTGATACGTGCGAGAACGGTGTCCTGTCCAATAGAGACATGGAAACGCTGTTTACTGCACACGTCGCCCTTGAAATAGGCAATTCGTGCCACTCCTGTAAGGAGACAGGCCTGGCACGCCGAGAGACTGTCCGGTGCGGCCAGATAGCCGCGCTCCATCACACTGGGGTCCAACTGGGTTACGCATATACCTGCGCGATCACCCTGATAAAGAAGCAAGAGGAGGTTTAAGCCAATGGGAAAAGCGCAACGTCCCATAGCATGAAACGGATTTAATGTGAGAAAATTATAAGGGGTTTTAAAACTTTTACCACTTGCCGTAAACAACCGGGAAGGAATAAGGAGTAGCGATCAACTACTTTCAAATGCCCCTGTTGTAAAATCATCCATACAGGTAACGATTGTTATTAGCACACAGAATATGGATGTGGATTTTGCTCTCAAATTTTACTAAAGATAAGCAACGACCTGTCACTACGCTAGCCACCACAGAGACGTGCCATCAGCACTAAACTATCTTTGCCTGAGTGTGAGCTCATGGTAGATAAATTTATCTTTCGTAGAATCGTAAACGAGGCAACCAAGAATTCACTAAAAGTGTTTTGATATGTTAGGTGCAGAGCGCTCCGACATCCAACCGGTTGCAGCCGCGACCATAAGGAATAAAGAAGTACTTCTGAAAGCGATTTGCAAAACTAGGTAGAGAAATTATAGGAAAGCTGAAGAACCCTCCACCGCCTACGATCAGGCGGATGCCTATGCAAGTGCTAAAAGAGGACAAATTCGCGTGCTTAGATACCAGTGCCAGAAAGCAGGTATTTACATCCACCGGTTAGTGGCGAATTGAGACCTGAATTAAACAAGATAACAAGATTTCGTGTCTATTTTTTGGCATTGGAACTAAGCAAAGCCTAGGTATCCAGCATTCTCGATCGTCACAATAAACCGATAATTTTTTTATGAGATCCTAATTCCTGTCCAACGAATCACACTTAAAGTTCACCTAACAGCTCCTTATAAAAATGGCTTACAGGACTGATTTCTTCGATGGGATTCCGAAACATCTGTATGGACTTGATCTTCTTCTTCAGTTTTTCCTGAGGGATCTCCACGGTCTATAATTAGAATAAAATACCTAAACATCTCCTAAGGCGCACATGGTGAAGTCCTTCTTCAAGCAAAACCTATTCAACTCCAAACTCGTTAGATCTAAAACGACTTCTCGGTGTATGGATACTGCTAACCCTTAGGGGACTTACAAATTATGCCCAGCCAGGCTTGAAAGTGTCTACTTAAATGCCATCAGCGGCGACATCAACCGTGTGTTCTTATATCAACCGTTCGCTGAAAAGTCCAAGACGTTGGCCGTTTCTACGCCACTTAGTCTCATGGGAATTGCTCTCAACATCTGTAAGATCTATACCAATGTTTAGCCAAGATAAGGGTTGTCGATATGTATGTAGGACACAAGGGCGAAAAATACAGGTAATCATTACAGTTAACGGAATCTAGGAACGTTACAAGGAGCGCTGCTGAACAGTATCAATGCAGCGATGACAAGTGTGGAAGGAAGAGAAGTTTAAACTTTGAAAATCTACCATGCGCCAAGCATTTATTAAATGGGTTTACCATTAGAACAGATGCTCCTATGATAAGGGATTGATACCCCTCGGTGTTTAACGCCATCCAGAACGGATATGTCACCTAAATGGGCTTTTCGTCACATCCTACCAACGCAAGATATGATAGGTGAATCATGTCGAAACCTCTAAGACACAACAATGCTAATGCATTCGGAAGTTCTTGACCTGTGATAAGCAAATGTAACAATGCTCAAAGGAACACAAAAGCTGCGTAGTAGGATACTATTTTGACATCAAGGTGGCAGTGACTCAACGTCGAGCTAATTCTTTCTTAATGATTTAGAAATATAGCACCAGATAAAAAGAGCAGTATAAAAATCCAACGGTACTGCAAGAACTCGAGCTGTTACGGCTGTTACAGCTACCTTACGTGCAAGACTTTGTGTCATAATGAATAAGGCAATTCTAGAGCCGTTCAAGCAATACCTCACCGACACGAATGCAGCCACGAAGAACAGTGCCAGTGAGAACGGTTCCTTGACCAGACTTGGAGAAACAGTGGTCTACAGCGAATAGAAACGGAAGATTTGCCAGTTCACTGCGTTTCTCTCGTGGGTCAGGAATGCTGGTAAGGAGGGTTGAAATCAATTCATCCATTCCCTCGCCGGTTGGCTGAAATAAAACACATCAGCTAATGAAGGGTGAGGGTGGAAAAGTGGAATTATCATGCGCACGCACCACTTCAACTTTTTGAATTGCTGAGACGGCAACGATTGGTGCGTCTTTAAACTTTGTTGATTGTAGTGTCTTTGAAACACGCAACTTCATCTATACAATCAACAGAGCAAAGAAAAGGGATCTGGTAATTCAATATAATCACGGTCGTCATTACAAGCAGTAATTACAACTACAACAACCACTGAAACAACTAGCATTTCATAAAACTGAGTAGCACAAACTTTGGCAATTTTCGCATCGCGTTCTTCTGGAGGAATCAGATCGACTTTGTTGAGAACGACCACTAAAGCATCACAAGTGAGTTCACCAATGACAAGGCACTCCGCAGTCTGTGTCTGAAAGCCCTTATTGACATCCACTACGAGGAGCATCAGATCGATTATGTGGGTGCCTAGAACGGTAGTGACTGGTAAAGGGGCAAATATACAAGTGGTACGAGGAATTGTAGACACTCACCACAAATAATTGTTCGAATGAGGGAGGCATGGCCAGGACAGTCAACAAGAGTGATTTGGATAGCGTCTGAGGGTTCAAGGTGGGGAGGAATATTCTTTTCCACCTTGAAAGACGAGAATCCTAAATCAAGGGTGATTCCGCGTTTTTGGCTTTGAGGGTTTTTATCAAATGCAGCGGTACTAGCTACTGTGCTCAAGGCCTTTGACAGAGTAGTCTTTCCTGAATCAACGTGGCCAAGAACTCCGACGTTCACATTTAGCAACATCCACTGGGAAACGTGAACAAAATAAAGCTAGAAACCGATTCATTAAGGCAGCAAATAATGCGACCGAATACAAAAGTCAATCATAAAAATACCATTGAATCTAATGTAGACCAGGAGTCGAACAGGATGATAAGGAGTTTGTAAGAGACAAATAGGGAGAAAGCAGCATAACATAACTAAGAATAAGAGGCAGGTCCCCACCAAATCAAGATGCGGCGCTCCAGCGATTCGAAATGTCTCTATCCAATGTAATAAGGTAAAACTATTTCCGTTGTCAAAATGTCTATCTGTATAATAATAAAGCGACATCCTCAATTTTTAATGGTATTTTTTTATAAATCGGCTGGAACAATTTTGGGGCATTTGCTAAGTTAGGCACGCATCAATATTTAGGGCATCGCTGTAATTTAGTCAGATGGTTATTTTACAAATGGAACAACATCTCTAATTTGGTAAAATAGGTCACTGATTGGTTTTACATTTGACAATGAACGCACAGAAAAGCAAGGTAACGATGAACCGGGGACCAGTTCTATTTTAATTAAACTTTCATGTGAAAAAGCAACTAGTTCAATCAATTTCGTGGTACCGTATTCATTGTTTCACCCAAGAAGTCCAAAGGCTCGTACCTTTGCAAACATTGGTGATGCATGCACACTTTTAATCTGGCACACAGTAGTACGATTGTGGTGACCCATTTTTCCCTAGGTGGCCACACGCATGCCTGCAGAACTCTGTCGCCGAAGGTAAGCACAACCTGAAAATATAGGGGGTCCGGAAGTTCTAAGCTATTTTTTCTGGTTAACGACCTGCCTAATCCGATCCAGCTGCTTAACTTGGAGGTCAATGTGTGTTGTGGCCAAGCGCCTGCATCTATTTCAAGCAGAAATATCTTACTGATGGCCGAAGAAGGCATGATACTCGCGTTAAATGTATATATTATTAACGCATAGTAAGGCTTGGGACTACCGGCCTGGCCTAAAGGCCAGCCTACTATGCGAAGGTATAATCGCAGAACACTTAATTGGCCCTTAACAAAATAGGGACTTAAAAAATTAACGTATCACATTATACTCTACCTCTTCCCGATGCAGAAAATTGACTAAGTTCCGGTGTTCTTATGTGGCCTCAATCCTAGAATTTTCCGCGACTTCATAAAATGTACGCATCTCTAACTAGGTTGGATGGAGCTTTGATAAACCCTAATTGTGAGTGCCCCATGGATCGAGTTCTAAGAATTTGGGTTCGTTGGTCAATAAGTCCAGTCAAAAATGTAGCTCGTCTGCATGCAGTACTTCCACCTACGCACTCACCCGTGCATCGACAAGAAGAACATAATGCTGCCCCCGGGTTAGTGTTGAAGACGCAGTAAGGCATACCTGTGTAGAATAAGGCCTTATAATGTGTATAGAGTGATTGGCTGATTGTAGGCATTGAAGGGACTCCGATGACACTGAAGTGACATAATTCAGGTCCAAATCGAGAAGCTTGAAGTCTTCAAATCTTTCATTGCTTAATTAAAAGGGATATTGAATATCTTTTTGTCTTCGACAATTCACCAGGTGAGAGAGGTTTGAATATGAGGCATTGTAAAATACAACTTTATCCACCTTAGCGGAGTGTGAAGAGGAGTGGGAGTGATTGGCTGACTTGGGGTTCAGTCTGTATGCATAGCACATATTAATGGAGGGTCCGATGAAAGTCCAGAGAGGTTTTTGTGGCATGTTGGTGATTGCAGTGATGCTGACGATGCTGGTGGCGATTGAATACGGTGGTTTGTGGTGGTGGGATCACTTGTGGCAAAGAGTTGTGTAGGCACAGTGAAAAGACACAGAGTGTGGCTGCCCTCCAGACAGTCGATGAAGGTGCAACTCTAGTGAACGGACTCTCGACGCATGCGAAAACCCTCTTCAGCTTACTCCACATTTGTCAGGAACTGGTGTTTGTGTGTGCGAGGCTGGATCCTATTGCGCTGGCAATCGGAGTAGTTCGGGAACAGGGTCTTCCCTACCGACGTGCTTGTTTGACGATAGAGGTGAATGAGTTGTAGCTACCGATTAAAGGAAATACTGGGGCAGAGGATAACGGAGATACGGATACGACGCGTGGTGAGTGACAGCCTCCTGGTGAAAGAAGACAAGAGGGAAGTTCCCTTCGTCCCTATTCTTAATATAGCATTTCGATTGATGTTAGCCTTCTATTGAATAGAAAAGCATATTAATTCTGTCTATGCGTGATTTTGGACAAGCAAAGGAATTGAAGGAGATGTCTTGAAATTGGCTCAAGATTGAATCAATGTCTCCTGAAAAGCCATATTTTCATTAAGGGGACTGTGGTGGACAGCAGAGGATTGGAGCCTTGATAAACATGGCATGCTGTGCTCGAAACTAAAAAAGTAATGGTAGGTGTGAGGTTGAAGGTTGATGTAGTTGTTGAGGTCGAGATTGTGACTGTTTTTTAACGGGTGAGTAGCGCCATCCTGTGAATTTTCTGCGTAAGCACACCATTCTCAAATTGTGTTTATTTTCCCTCGCCTCAAGTCACGTCTCCTTCACGTTTCGCAGTCCAATTGTCTCGGAAATATCACTGCCACGACTGCCGTGGCGAATAGGTTAAAAGATTTCACAGAGAAGGTTTTAAGTCTTTCCTTGAAATTTAACACTTAGCCGGCGACTTTTATGTGCGGTAGCCATGAGCGGAGTCAATTTGACTGGCTTTTACTCTTACGCTGCACATGAAAAGTACACGGAAGAATGGAGGTTATTGCGTTATTTTCTTGCTTTTGACAGTGTGTGAGGTTGCGTGTACATGCATTTAGAAATTGGCATTAATTAACGTCTCTCTTGTCAGTGAGTGCGACGCAAAAGGCATTGTCGTGGATTGTATCAAACAGGCGAGTGGTTAGTTTCTGAATCGTTCCAAATTTCTCAAATTGACTTTAGCGACAACTCCAAAATCAGTAGAATTCATGTAAGTAGGGATTTCAAGTTGCCTCATTGGAGATCCACATCTACACGTCATTTTGTGTCTGCATCTACCACCTAGAAGCAGACTAGTCATTTTAGGAGCCCATACGTCGTGATGGAATCCTAAAACTGGCAGTAGAAAATATGTGTACTTTGTAGAAAGTTGAATCACGGGTTTGTGCACCTTTGGAAGCTAGACTTTGAAAAGTACAGTCGCATCTAAAGTCGTAATATCTGGCAATCGCTGCTTTCTAGTGCCTTCTTCTCACCCTGTCACTCCTACCTTCCGGTTACTTATGATTTATATATCTACTGATTTGTGAAAGGCAGAGGATATGATTGTGGATCAATGTAAGGTAGATGGCCGAAAATTTAGCACTGTAGTATGCAAGAAACATCAGCAGAGTGAAATGGTTCTATTTATGCATGGTGGGTGCTACTGAAATTTTCAAAGCAACAAATTTTACAACGACAAAGCAACAATGTCCATTTTTGCTCTTTACAGTCACTTGAGAAGTTGATGACATTGAACAAATGAGGTAGACCTACAGACTGGGTGGATTTAGCTGTCAATTGTGAAAAGTTGATGATGGAAACTGACACGCCCTCTTTCAAACTTACAAACAAAGTTACTAGCATTCACGAGGTGCCAGAACGACACCTTCTTTAATAGTGTTCTTCATTTTCGTCACACTTGGGACATGGTATTACGACCATGCCCAAGGTTTCCTAGGCCTTTTTTTATTTTTCATCACATCATCAGTGGTAATTAGCGCCAAGCACGACGATAAAATGAAAGTTGTGCGCATCTTAATTTGAGTGATGTGAGTTAAGCCATTTGACATTTATTTATTAAGGTACCGGTTGAACTACTCATTTTTAAAAATGCAGTAAACAAATCTTTACAAAACATTACTTTAGGTGAAAAGGTGGTAATTTGGTTCAGCCTCGAGACAGAAATTTCACCACAATCGAAAATTCTTGGAAAATTTGGTTGTTTGGAAAATCCCACATTAGACAGTGAAAATATCTTTTTCTCGAAGCATTGCAAACTAAAGTAGAGGTCAATGATCGTTAAAAATATTACGACTCCATAGTAAAACGATTTCATCTTGCAGAAAAGACTTACCTTCTTGATTTTTACCTCTTTGATCTTTTATACTTTGCCAGTCAATTTTTCACTGATTTTTGTACCAGCATATCCAATTCCTTCCACACATTTGATAGCATGTTCATGAAATGTATAAAAAGGGGGTACTTTACTGGCCACTTGTTAACTGCCTTTGCGCACACTCAAAATCCGCCTCTAAATAGATTAGGTTCATTTACGAAGCATTTTTTGCCATGATTTGGGTAAATTTAAACTTCGCGTACTCAAACACATTTTAAAATTTGTACGTATCTTTCTTTTGTAAGTGTAGGTAAATCCTGAGAAATCCGATGTTCCTAATTGCTAGTTTGTTTGTTGAAGGCCATAAAGGTTCGGCAAATCCGCTTCCCTCAAAATCAATTGGTTGGTGTTTGCGTTATCCGGTGTCATTTTCGTCAAGTTAACAATATATTTGAGTTTGCTGATCGCGATTTTAACTGTTATACACAACAAACTCTGCTGGTATTCCTCCGAAAACGATGACTACAGTGTCGTTGCTATGGGTTGGCGATTTAAGTCAAGACAAGCGGATGGCCAGTACTTCTATGAAAGTATCAGATGAGCGCTACCGACCAAAACTTATAGAGTTGAAGGAAGATCAGAAAGAAATTAGAATTGGTCGCCTCAACTCTACAAATCCGCCTCATTACCTTATTGAAAGTTGCATCAATAAGCGTATGATTTCACGCAACCATGCCACTATTGAACGATTACCGGACGGTGGTTTTATGTTGTACGATCACAGTATGAACGGAACCTACGTTAACTACATTCGAGTTTCCGGTGGTGTCACCCTCAAGAGTGGGGATATTGTCTGCTTCGGTCATCTTAACGGTGCTAACCTAAAACCGGGTGATGATGTTACTCCATTCTTTTCGGACCTCAAGTACCAGGTAAGAATTCTTTTGTCTCCGCACTTGTGCAGCCTCCTCTGCAGCGTCATTTAGTGGCCTTTAGTCGATGTGACGATGAAGTAACGTTTACTTAAATTGGTAGTAGATTAAGTCAATAACTTCGTTTTCTTCCGCTTTCGGTAGGTATACATTGGTTCCCCCAAAGAAGTGGCTGCTGCCACAGCTGAGGCAGGTGAATCGAATTCTGAACGGGTATCCGCCAACAAGCGGCAACGGAAATCCAGTGGAGGCAGTCACGATGTCAAAAAGGCTGCCGTCACCTCTTCGAAAACTCCCAGCCGTCATCGAGGTGGCGATGATGCAGTAGCTAGCATCAAATCCGAGGCAGAAGACAGTGACGAGGACTTAATGGATCGTCTGTCAAAGCGCAAATCCAATGCTCCATCTGGTGGGAACACCGCCAAGAAAAACTCATCTTCCAAGAGCAATGGTATGAAAAAACATGCCTCACCTCCTCCATCCGCCACAAAAAAATCTAAACACCACTCGAAGAAGTCTCGTGCCAGAGAGATGGCGGTTGATGCCGAGGATGATGGAGATGATGTCGGCGAGGGGGACTCCGCCGCTGGAGGTGACAATGAAGACGTCACTCGTTATGGGGAGGATGATCAGGAGGAATGTTCAGCGCGTACCTGTAAGAAGCCTGCCGGAACGGCCATTGATTGGATCCAGTGCGACAAGTGTTCCAAATGGTACCACCAAATTTGTCTTAATTTGACCCCAGAGGAGGCGGATGTGGATGTCTATTACTGCCCGTCGTGTACCAAAAAGCGCTAGGTTTTTGCGCTACCGTCATGGCCATCATCATCCCACTTTGTGTAAATAGGTTTCTCCTTGTATGCTTACAGCGGAATTTTTATAGGGATTAAGAGGACGATGGTTAAAGTATTCTTCGCCATTTTCTGTGAATTACATCCTGATTGGCATCCTCTTGCTACATGTCTACTTTCCTCCTCCTATCCAATGTTTGTCCCTCTCCCTGTCTATATAATGTTCCACTTATCATTCTTTGCCCGGCGGAAGTTTGTTAATGCTTGCTACTTCTAATCTCTCTGAATTCACTGAAGCTTGCACAAATCCATGTAATTTAATTACCATCACCTCGGCTTCCATTTTGTCCGGTGTCTGTTGAAGACGCAGTTTATCGTAATGGAGTTAGGTCTACTGCGCAGTTGTTGCTTCGGTTTGCGGCAGGATGTCTTGCACAGCTTTGTGGTAGATATTTGATGGATCTTTGACTGGGCTTCGGTGGTACTGGTATGCTGTGCGGATGTTTTCTGGCAAGTAAATTTACCCTAGGACGCCCAGGCTCTGGCCTCTCGACTTTATGCGAGAACGGAGCTTGGATGGGAATGCGCTGTAGTGCGCGGGTTGTGGCGTGTAGCTAGTACGGTTAGAGAGCCTGTATTGTGCTCTCACCTTTGTGTGATCGGGTTAGGTGAGCGGGGTAGGTCACACAAAGTGTGATTAGGGCGTTCTACGAGGCTGCCCTGTGCAGATTCGTCGCTTCGTTCCTGCCAATTAGGTCGGGTGGCTTTGGTCTTCCACTGAAGCGTGTCTTATCTCCAAAATGTTTTTCGCTCGGAGCATCTACGTCAGCCTTAGAGAAACTACTAGGGGTTTCAGTGCGGGGGCGTGCTCAGTGAAAGCGCACATGAGCGGTAAAAGGTCAGTGGCCTCATTCTGACTGTATCGAGGGCGGATGCCATGTGATTTTGTGGTAAAGTAAACGCGTTAAAACATTTTACCCCCAAGAAGCCTAGACGGTCCCTTTTATCTCAGTTTTTTTACAGGATTGCCTAGCGTTAAGGCGACAATCATGAAGGGCTTAAGATGTCTTGTGAATGTAAAACTCTCATCTGATTTCCTCGTTTTTTTTTAGAGAAAATGAAGTCCTACTTCAACATTTAGACGTAGCCTATTACGTGGTTAGGTAGCTGTAAGAGTAAGACCTTCAGTAAGAAATTTAAGGCGAATAAGTCCGCCTCTGTCCCACCACGCAATAAGCATAGCCCTGAGAGATTGACGTGGTGCATGCCATGGAAGTGTGGAGAGGGTTAGTGAGTCCATTGTGTGTAAATCACTAATAGTAAGCGCATTTACTTACGGGCTGATAAAATAAGAAAACCAGTTACCGCCAGAGGTCAATTGGTAGGGCAGGCATAAACAAATCCGAAAGAAGACCGCATTAACTGAATGGAAAAATACTGCCAGCAGTTGCTATGTGTGCAACTGAATGGCTAAGCTTCCACCACAAATTACCTCAGTAAAGGAGGTCCAGTCGATAAGTGTATCACCCATCCCTAGAAAATAGGAGGTGGAAAGCTAACCGCTTAGTCAAAACAGCACATTCTTTACGCATGAGATGCAACAAAGCAGCCGAAAAGTTCCTCAACCCACAACTTGCAAATTAAGCTCAACACCGTCCATCAAGCGGGCGACCTTCAATCACTACCACTTCCACCACCTTCCACCAACATCTCTCCTCATAAAACAAGAGATTAGAACAGGAGGAAAGCAGTGGGAAACACAGCTGAGGATACCACGACGATTCAGTGACTGACGGACTGACGCTTGTCTGTGCCTTGATCTCCGCACGTAAACAGTCGCACGCATTTGCGCAGGTCCTTCACCCTGTCCCTCCCCCACACTACAACTTGCTACAGGTCATGACACCGAACTGCACCGAAAACCACACCAACCTGCTCGTCACCTGACACCTGGACTGGCATCCACACCTTCCATTTGCCGCATAGCCCAACTTCCAATTTGCTCGTTGTGTGCGCCTCTCCACCCCCAAATCCGAGTTGCCACACCACTGTGACAGGTTTCAGCTTCACTCATACCGTCTATCCTACGAGATCGCCTACATTGGAACGACTTTGCTAAATCACCAGACTTCCCAATGGCAGCTCCTTCATCTCTCCCTCCATCAAACCAACCGTATTGTTGGTGTGTATTTACGAAGCAGAAGCCCCGTCGATGTACACGATTTCACTCAAATGCAACACTTGGTGGCATACACGTCTAGTCCAGCCCAGTCTGGAGGCCACCTCATTACCACAGTGCAAAACAGTTGATCCTCCTGCTGTTACTTCAACCGTTAGTGTCGGTGTTCTACTTGTGGGTGTGGTTGTGGACTGTGGATTGTGGCTGCAGTTCCGGTTGCAGTTACAGTTCCACTTGTGGTCGTTGCAGTGAGGTAACTAAAAGGACCCGTGAGGAAGTCGAATCATTCCGGAGAGACGTCCATCTGCACCATCACGTTGCCAGTGTCGTCCACAACCACTCCACGTGAGCACTCACCCTCCTGCTTCCATCGTCACAACAGCAGCAGTCAGCTGTGCTCAAACCACTCATGCAACAGAAGCAGCCATCACAGATGACTGCTTTTGCTGACTCTGGTCACACCTACACACTTCAGCCTTTGTGCACTGCCTACGGTTGAAGGCTGCAATGCAGATGGCATTGATCCAAATTGTGGAAGTTTGTCACTTCACCTCAGGCGTTTCGTGTGAGGTCAATATTCCCCATCTCCTGACTCACCCGTCAGAAAGACCCGTACATATTATCCTGATCCTTCAAATTGTTGTGTGCGCTCTCACGATGCATTTGCCCAACTAGACGAAGTGTGGCGGAATTACACCAACATATCCACTCCCACTCCCCACATACACGCACCCACACGCACGCACATTCCACCTGTCTAGTAACTACCATTTCCACATCCACTTGCTACACTACACACCACATGGTTTGCCACTTCGTCCTCGCACCACACATCCATTCACCTTCTCCCGTGTTCGTCGCAGTAATCACAGTAGTGGTGCTTCCTCCCTCCGTCTCCTTCACATCAGCTCGGATGGGTGAATGGAGATTGCTCACTGGCTTACCGACACATTCTGTCTGTTTTCCGACCTCAGCATCATCGACCCGGCCAATAGACTGATGTCAGTGTCCCCCATCTCCCGTTTGACTAAATGTCACCAGCATTGGCATCTCCTCATGCCACCACGACTTCCTCAACTCGAATTGACAGGAGTACAATGAATCATCCAGTTTGTCCACTTCGTGGTCGTTCTCTCCTGCCCTCCCTCCTCAGACGTGATTTCGTGGTTGAGATGCGGCACACCGACAGGTGTGGAAAGCCTCGAAACAACCCACAGAGACGGTGATGACAATGCAGTCCACAAGGTGGCATCTCTACATTTTGTGAACAGTGGAAGCCCTCGAAATCAGAATTGAAGGGATGGGTAGAAGCCGAACTACGCAAAGGAGCCTCGCAATGCAGTCGCATTGCTCGGAAGAGCACTGGAGTACATGCCCGAATTTGCACAACACTTGAATAAGAAAACGGTCCACAATTGACATTCGTGCGCTTCACCCACCAAAAGTAAGTAGTCATGCTGGAACGGGTCATGTGACTCCTTCTGTCCACCAACCCGATTAGCCAGGTGGATTGGGGTGACGGTTGTCGCCTTGTTGGGGGGTGGAAACGACTGCGGGGCGTGCATACGAGCCTAATAGTTTCAGTGGCCAGATGACGAATCGGGAGGATGAATTACTTCCTCTCACACCGTGCGCTCGGATGGATGGAGTGGTCTCACACCATCATCATCAAAGGGTTTATGCGTGTCTCATCCGGTATGAGTGGTGCACGGCAATCTGATCGTCGAACTAACTACAATGTTGCGGGGATGGGGAAGGAACCGACAAACCGATTGGCGAAATGACTGTACTATCGGTTGAAGATGTTGTAAAAAAAAATTTCATTACCACATCGATTCAAAGTGTGGAGTAACAATTGCAGCTGA